AGGCATATGTTTTACAGCGGTGGATGCCTAGGTTAATATGGCATATGTTTTACAGCGGCGGATGCCTAGGTTAATAAGGCATATGTTTTACAGAGGTGGATGCCTAGGTTAATGTGGCATATGTTTGACAGTATTGGATGCCTAGCTAAATAAGGCATATGTTTTACAGTAGTGGATGCCTAGGTTAATGTGGCATATGTTTTACAGTGGTGAATGCCTGTGTAAATCAGGCATATGTTTTACAGTAATGGATGCCTAGGTTAATGTGGCATATGTTTTACAGTGGTGAATGCCTGGGTTAATAAGGCATATGTTTTACAGTAATGGATGCTTAGGTTAATGAGGCATATGTTTTACAGTGGTGGATGCCTAGAGGTTAATGAGGCATATGTTTCACAGTGGTGGATGCTAGGCATATGTTTTACAGTGGTGGATGCCTAAGTTAATGAGGCATATGTTTTACAGTGGTGAATGCCTAGGTTAATATGGCATATGTTTTACAGTGGTGGATGCCTAGGTTAATAAGGCATATGTTTTACACCCGGTTTTACAGTGGTGGATTTCGGCTTTCCTATAGCATCTTTTCAAAGTGAACCAGATTGTTTTGTAAATGTCTGGAGTGTTTGTTTTATAGACATCCATTGTCTTAAGAACAATTCCAAAACAATGGCACAGTTTGAAAACACGATTACTGTTTCAATATGGTGTAAGGGCCTTATTGTTTATTTGCTGTGTCATCAATAAAGTCTTTGGGATATTATTAAGGTATCGATTTGAAACATATCTGTTTATTCATTGTCGATTAAGAAAACATGAAAATGTAAGCAATCTCGTCCTGCAAATGTATAGTACTACTAATGTAGAGCGACGTAAGTTGTGATCTTATCCTACTCAAAAAACTACTAGCATGACATTCAAAAAATAATCTGAAGGTATAGGAGTCAATCTGTCAAAAATAGTATGTATAATACACCCCCTCCAAAAAAGTATGTAAAATACACCCCTCCAAAAACTTTGCAACCCCGAATACCCATTGAACCTATAATCACTATTAATGTTTACTGTTTACGAGTGAAATGTAAATATAGACAGAGAGGAATAGCATTTAGTTTGAACATAATTTGCGTATTAGCATTTATCTAATGCAGGACGCAATACCATATATAAATGCCAGATTAGCTTTGATATTTTGTCATTTTACTCAATTCAATATACTCATAGTCGTTGGATTATGTGGGTGGATTATCTGATGGAAGTGTCAGAACTTTCTAATATTGTTAACGGGCACTTGACTTGGCATATAGCCACCACTTAAAAAGCAATTTTCAAAATAATTTTACCTTGAAAAGACCCTTTAAAGTTGAAATAATACATATGTTCGCCAAAACTTTGTATCGAAAACTCAATATAACTATTATTTTGCTCCAATGTATGTTTTACTGGTTCAGTAAGAACAGTGGATAGCTATCAAATCATCCTCAAAGGTTGAAATGTCTTTGTAATAACAACCAGGATTACCCTAAGAGGTATCCAAACTGCAATAAAATTATTCAAATCAAGCCTCTAACGTAACACCGACGACAGCAATGAGATTGCGCTTCCCGAGGGATTTATCAGGAGATATAAATTAGCGTTTCCAATGCCGTGGATCGGCTTAGGGGATTAGAAGGGTGTTTAGAAACCAATCATGTCCACAGTTCGGGGCTTGCTTAATCCCTTGGCCCATCGTGTATCAAAATTAAACAACCTTTTCATTTATTTATCGATCATTCGAGACCCTGGCAGCCTATCAGAAGTTACTTGAAGACTGTAAATTACTGAAGGGTTCGCCGTTAGTACGTTTATTGCCGGTGATATGATCAGCGATGAATGGCTAAATGCCATTTCTATTCTAGGAAACCTCAATTCCGTTGAATCTTCAGATATATTGATCCAATTGGCATGTCCGCGCGCGTAGTCGTAATGCTGTCCAACAAAACAGATTATACATCAAAACGAACATCGATATATTTGTAAAATTAACCTATAAACAATAGGAATATAATTTAATGCAAATACTAAATAGATAAACACACTTTTGATGAATTCTGAAATAGCACAATTATCGTTATATCCATCTGCACAACAATTAAGGAACACATTTGCAAAAGGTTACTGGTATTTCGTCGATCGATATTAAGATAAATATTTTAAATAAACTATGCTGTTATTATAATCGTGAAGATTTGAATGTCAAAACGACACTCATAGACATAATCAGATGGTATTGCTTGATGAATATTTTAGAAAAGTATATTCCTGGGGTGCCTATCGACAAATAGTGTATTTTATTGCTTGAGGTTTGATTTTGCACAGATGTCTGATGCTTTGTAATTATCCCCTGCAAAATGTGTAACAATACAATTTTGTCACAGTGTCCATTTGTTAAAACCCACATGGCTTGATATAAAGAAAAACATCTTAGAAACAGTGATGTTCATGAATCTGTTGTTCAAGTGTTGCGCTATTATCTCTGCAATTCTCGGATATTTAGGAAGAGAGCTTACTATATTTACGCGATTTCAAGTTATTGATAGCGTATTGTATTGTTATATTACAGATTAAAACAATAGATCTATCTTACAAATACGAACCCTCTAAAATGAACTGCAACTGTGAGGCTATTCCAGTTTTGAAAAAATACTTAGCTTTTCAAATGCTTTATAGTGTTGATGTACTGCACATGTTCAGCATACACTGCCAGAACGGATTTTTTTGTAAAAATTAGTACAAGCCCGATGCTATTCTCAAAGGGTACACTTATCGAAACAATGGTGATAACATCATACCAGGCTTTCCAGAGTTTACTAGTTTGTTTATTCTAAATTGTAAACCTGGAAAATTTAAAGTTGAGATCGATCAAAGTAAAATCGATACTGATATGATCGTATGATAACCGGACCATCAACGTGCGCCTAAATATCTTGATTAGAGGCGCGTATTGAACAGAAATGGTAGGATCAAAGGAAGTGTGTGACGTAAAAGCCGGGCGTAAAAGCAAGATCAGGCAGTAATATCTTTGACCTGTAATACATACTGATCTTGCATGGTCATGTCTCTGCCCCGCATCCCAATTTACTATACTCCAGAGATGATAGGAGAGGGGGTCCTCATTACTTGAAAATGATGAGCAGTCTTATATGAGCAGGTTCAATTAATAGGAAGCGGTTTGGACAGGTGGAATCGTGATATTGCCGGGTGTTTTCGCTAGATTTAAGAGCATTTATGAACGACAATGAATGTCCGGAAAGTTATTTATTGAGATGCATCAAATCTGTTCATGAAAAATGTATTTTGATTGCTCTTTTGTGAATCGGCTACCTGCACGCACAAACTGTTTAAATAAATTGCACGGATATTGTTTTCACATATCTGATACGTATTTCAAACATAAAGTACTAAGGACATCATTTAATAACCAAAGTAAATCCACATATCATACACCAAATTAATTTATTAAAATCAAACTGGTGGCTATATTCGAAACCCAAAATGGCTTAGTTTCAGAAATATCACAAATTAAAAATTCAAAAATGACCGTTAAATCCGCACCATCCGCTCATTCATGCCACACCCAATATTTCTCACAGGCTCCGTCTGCATAGGGTGCACTTCTGCGATACTAGCAGGTACGCAAATCAGCGTCCCTTATATGTTGGTTCGCTTAGTGAAAAAAAGTATGCATGATGATACATCATTCAAGTTGACGCATCGAGTGAGGTATTCCTGCAAACGGGTAGCAATTACTACACCTTGCAGTTCCATACATACTATATAATTATCCTATCAGGCCCTATGCAATTTTCCACATATAATTTGATGTCCCGGACGCATTTAGTCCTTGGCATACGGTGTGACTCAAAAATGCTTACGGTGAAATCTAAAACAGTTATCTTCTGCCTATGGCAATCAAGTAGAATGGCAAACACTTATAAAATGATCAGTTCGTACAGTCTTAAGTGGCAATTTTAATTAGGGGCGGGATTTTCACTCGGAGTGGCTGGGGTGATAAAGGTTGATGCAATAGCAAGAGTGGCAGAAAACCTCGCTTTAAATAGATTGTAACCCCCAGTTTTTGCCCCAAGATATTTTGATATCCTGTAAACTCAAGATATATTCTCCAATACTCTTTATGTCTTGTTTTATAAATCTTACGTTGATATATTGCTTGAAAATATGCGCATTGCCATATAGTTGCTTCGTTGTCATTTAGTACCATGTAAAACACAATCCTTCTCAACTTATATTGGTCATTTAAAATTTCATTTCTATTTCATTCTAATTTTATTTTGATTTTATTTCCTAAAAGTCTTAATGATTGAAAAATCTGATTCAACATGGCAATTTACTATTATTTAAACTTTAAATGTTTGTAACTTTTGCTTTTGAACTAGCATTAAACATTATTTTATAACAATAAATTAACTTCCATTTGTATTTCATTACTGTCTTGCTTGTTGTACCGCCTTCCTTCCCTTCAAGTAAAATAAAACCAGAATTAATTCATCATGGATTTCAATAACATTAAAATAAATGTCAACATTTATTAGGTGTATGTGAATTATGAAAACTTTGCGCTTGGATCAAAGTCAACGTTACGTCTATGATGCTTCCTTAAATCTTGGATTGATATCCAAATTTGACACTATTTTGATTGTATACTATTGGAAAATGGAAACGTACATTCATAATGATATATCCTTTCATTATATTAAATGACATGATCTTTTTACAAGATATGATTTATATGCTATATCTGTATATCTAGTCTCTTTTTTATTATTGTATAATGCTGCAGAAACTTCAGAATTTCAAAGAATGTGCAATGTTGTAAATATGAATATCTTATCATGTATGTCTACGTTAATACTACGAGCGTTATAACAATATCATGTGACTTGGGTAGTCCAAAGACAGTAATGTGTTATAATTATTCGTGCAATACTACCTTGTATTTCCAGGTTCAGATCAGGAAGATTTAGATGATTTTGAGGACTTATTGGACAATAACAACTTCAGTAGCAATATATCAGACAAAGATTCGACCATAAGTACAGAAGACTCCCACGTGACCACCCCAAACCCATCCGCCCAATCCCACACCTCAACCAACAGTAACAAATATTTTAAAGACACAGAAGAAGTATTAAGCCCGGAATTCAAAGACATTGATGATATTAACTTAAAAAGTCCCCAAAGTGTAGATAATGTATCGGAAGCTGGGGACACGAATAATAACACTGAAAACCAAGATAATTCATCGAACTCAACCAAAAGGAGAGGTCCCCGTACCACCATTAAGGCCAAACAGCTTGAGACTTTGAAGGCAGCGTTTGCAGCAACTCCTAAACCCACCAGACACATACGTGAACAACTGGCGAAAGAGACAGGATTGAACATGCGTGTAATACAGGTAAGACTAACCTTATACGTTACTTAAGCTTGCAATGTTTTTCACAATCTAAACGTAAACGGGCGATTGGTCATACGTATAGGTTATCGTTTCGATTTTATATATAAGCTTATATAAGATTTTACACAGTATATAAGCTTAAACTCCCTATTAGGGATCTAAAAGATATAATTCTCTTCATGGTCAGAAAATAGTAAAAATCCAAAAATACAACCGTCTGAAATTATTAATAAACATATTTTATAGATTACAACGAGAATTACAACCGTTGTTACCAAAGTAGGTTATGACTTTGAAAACCACGCTCATGTACAATAACAAAAACAAACGCTACTTTAAACAAACGTTCTTAACTCAAGACAAAAAAATCCATGTTTTTGAATCCCGCCTGTCGAAATTAGTGATTCAGAACACATACATACAAATCCTCTGCTTATCCTTCATAAAACCTGCTTCACTATAAATAAAGAAAATAAACGATGCCTCTTTAATGATTGTGAAGGCTTACACGTCTGCGAACGGTGATTACAAACCACTTGGGTACAAAATGCTCGCTAATGAATCCAATGACCAGATATTAGCGTCTAAATAATAAGATAATACTTGTACATTGATGGAAGAATAAACTCATCTTTGTATCAGTATAAATCGTGTTTTCATTATTAATACATCACTAGTTTTCCTAGGTCTTGATAAAACCTTATTATGATGTCAAGATATGAAGAGTGGCTGTTCTTTCTATTATTGCTATTTGAAGGTTCTTTCAAAGCTTCAGGCCCCATTGGTCGAATTACAAGAACGGCGATATCAAATTCAATCCGTCGTCAAAGGGTCTTACTTGAAGCCCTGCATAGATATCGCTTATAACATTAGTATCAATTTACTGAGCAAATCAGAGAAAACCTACTCAAAAGTAAAGTTAATATACTTCTCACGTATAAGTGTAGTAGTTATGCACTTCTGGGTTGCATATTAATCAGAGATTGCTAATGGTATTCTTTAGTTCATCTGCGCGTTCATAATGCCCAACTCTGCACCAATTAATGCATTCATCTGGGGGAAATCAATGTAAGGGATATTCGGAAAAATTAAAAGAGCGTTGCAATTGTTTTGTTTTTCTTACGTTGCCTATCTGATTTCTAATATCAATTAATGCTGTTAAATGCGAGTCAGTTGACAAAATGTAGTTTGGCAAATGTGTCCCCAGTATATGAGGTACTTGGATCAAAGTGTGCGTCACTTCAGACCAGGCGTCTTCATTACGATCAACTACATGGGTGTCCACCTTTGTCATTGTGCAAGCAACGTTTATCAAAATGTCTTTAATTCAATTTAAGTCAGGATGCAGGCAACCAGGCGGTGAGAATACATAAACTATCTCAACTATTGGTAATACATCACTAACATGAAACACAAATTTCTTAAAATTGACGACAAAATCAGAAAAACATGACACATAGTGCTGCAGAACAAGAAATGTGGATGTATGTGTCATATATCCCTTAAATCCTAGCTATTTGTTAGTGTCCAATATGGCAGTCCAATTTAACGTTTCACAGATTCCTGACTCACAGAGGGCTTCGAGCTTAACCCTGCAAAATGTGTCCTGTATATTAAGAGCTGGTTTTTAATTTATGAAAACTTTGATTGACATTTGTCAAAATTAAGAAAGTCCGAGGATATGTAGTCGTGTGGCCTTGGTAATTCCACTTGTAGATTTGCATGACGTGTGCAAGTGAATTATGCGCAGGGGAATTCAAAATTCGTTACGCTGGGACCAAGATATCCTTAGTCCAAAGGTATTTCACTTCTTAGCAAAGTTAAATCTTGACAGGTTGAGACTTGAGACTGATGAAACTACAAATTAAAAATTACCACGACCTTAATCAAGATGTGAAACTAGGTTGCAAAAACTGTTTCTTTCCTACTCCCAGCATTATGATTCTGAACATCGTTTGGGGTTATGATTGAATGCATGTTGAAGAGACACGAATAATCTCCTTTGAGTTGTCCCATCATTGCTGGATAGGAGTATAATTCAGTCTAATTGAGCAAGTGACGTCCATATTTGGCGCATTTAGAACTGCCTGCACGCAAACTACTCAAAGAAGCCGTCAAAAGAAAAAAATTAAAAGAAAGTCACTGCTATCAAAACTTTGAACTTTTAATGTTTTTGTATCGTGGTTGAAGAAAATATTCTACAGATTCCTTCTAGCGGAAATTTGCCAGAAGCATTTCGATGTTTGGACGAGTTGAGCTGTATTAAAGCCAGCGCCATATAAAGCTCAATAACATTCTAAACAATGTCGACTTCAAAAGCCTTCATAAGCCGTTGAAAGTTTTCACTTGATATTTTTATTACCATTGTCAAAATATTGAAAGTACTACCGATATTACAGTAATATAAACTGAAAGGATTTTTTATAAGACATGTGTTTTGAGCCTCGAATCTTAAAGCATTTTGAATACCAGGATCGCTTAGAATAACATGGAGCCTATGCAATTCTTGGTTGAATAAACTGCCGTGTTATGTTTTTCATTGACACGGTAATCTGCAAATGAAAACATTAATCGTTTTCAAGGGATCTTAAAGGGAAATCCACCATGTTATCTATCCAATATCTATATCATCATATAAAACGGTAGAGAACATTAATCACGGAAAAATAAAAGCATGAAATTGAGGCTAATTCGAGAATCTAAATAAATTTGGAAATTAAAATCTGATAAACACATTGGGATCAGAAGTAAACATCGTTATGAAATTAAAAGGTTTTTCAAACTGAATTATCGATATTATTTTTTTTAGTGATTCCTGGATCGATCTCTCAAAGTATGGCCACAATCTCGGTACATGATTTGTATGATTGCAATCCTTCTACCTTTCCCTTTCGGTCTTCAGGTGTTTGTATAAAAGCACGAGTTTCAGAAGTAGAAACAAGTTTGTTTAGATAGTTGAAGATGATAACTCAGACGCGCCCACTTCGGTCTTTTTAAAAATCACTAAACAATGGAGAGAAATATGCGATGTCTCTTTATGAATATTGAAAGGCGATACATCAAGCATTCAGCACGTCTTTATACCCCCATACAACTCAACAAACGACCGATGTTTTCTCTTTTTGTTCATTGAACCCGACTGTAATCGGCCTGAAAAGATCAACTCTTCTGAAGAACTTTTTCTCAATTCAAATCTCTTTTAGCTTCGGTATTGTATACCGGACCCATCCGTACGTATCATTATTGTTCGTATCGGTTACAATCAGACTGCCGAATCTATTAATTTTCTTTGGTTTCTACTTTGCTGGTAGCAACTATAAAGCAAATGATCAGGCATTTACTTATTCCATACGCAATCAAAATAACATGCATTTTACATTTTATCTCCCAGATAGCAGAATCAAGTGACTAAAGTTATAAATACAAGTTATAAAGGTCCATGTGCAGTATGGGAAGTGATTTTAGACAGTCATATCTTTCACCATGAGTACTTTCTGACCATAAATACAGTGGTTTTTATTAAAACAATATGTTTTCTTTCAAGTGAAGTCCCAATAATAATGAAATATCAATCCAACTCTCTGAAAAATTATGGTTTAGGACCCCACCTTGGCAGTTTTTAAAAAATGTTAGGCTTATTTTCTAAAAAGAGGATATTGGTTTTCTCAATTAAACCATACCGAAAGTTTCTTCTACACTACATTATAACTTCTGAAAAGGAAATTGGTATTGAAATGCGTTAAAGTTAAAAACCACGTATCCCATGTTATTTTCCCATAGGTAAAACTCGTGCTATCCGTTGTTTTCAGCATAATTTTGGCCATCGAAAAATGAAATCTCCAAAACTAGACTTTCAATACCATTCTACTTTTGAAGAAGTTTTAGACCCCTTTTTGAATAATCTTTTCATGCAATGAAAATCAAAAAAGGAGATCCTCTTTTGAGTAAATAGGTTCAACATTTTGAAATTGTTGACATGGGGTCCCTATTCATAATTTTTCGAATTGTTTGATTGATACTTTTATCATCATGGGCACTTCACTTGAAAGAAAACATATTGTTTTAATAAAAACCACTGTATTTGTGCCCAGAAGGTACTCATGGTGAAAGATATGACTGTCTAAAATCACTTGCCATACTGCACATGGACCTTTAAGATGTTTACCTTCCCAAACACTAGATCAAAATTACGATTTCTGTTCTAATGCAACATTATTAACATAAAATACTGAAAAATAATAAATTAGAAATTCTATATTGCTCGAAACCAAAAAAGTATGTAAATGTATACCCGTGTACTTGTTCATGAGTATATATTTATATATGTACATCATAGGCCTATATTTGTTTATTGTTTTCATTTTTCCTGTTTTGTTAGTATTTTTACAAACACAACTTAAGACAAGCAGTATTTTATTTCATACTTACGTTTTGGTTTCTGTAATAATTGTACCCCTAATATACTCAAAAACCAAATAAGAAACTGCTCAAAGAAATGACGTGTCTGGAAAAGATGATTAAAACCCCCTGGGTGTTAGATGGGAGAAAGCCTGACGATCTATTTACATACAGAACGAACTGGGAAGATTAGAGTTTTAATTGAGTATTGATTTATACGTTTATGGGTTTCTGAACAACCCTACAAAAACATCTTTCCACTCTTGTTTATTTGCTTAAAATTTCATCACAAATAACCCGGTTTTTATTCTGTTCATGGAATTCAGAAGCACCAAGCAGTCTTGCTTTGTATCTTTATTTTGTTTATGAACATTTCAGGTTGATTTTATGGAGTTACGATATATACTAGTATAATGTCCATTGCTCGAGTCTCGAGAAGCTATTATGGACTGGTAATCGACTTCTTGATATTGAATATTATATTTTAACAGTGCTCGGGCACAAAATGGACAATTAGGTCATCCAATTGAATATCTTTCTAGTATATGGTCTAATTCTCCGTATATCCTTGAGTTCCCGATGTCGTAGTTTTAGGTTTTGGG